ATTTATGGCTACCATTGCACAGATTTTTGACGCACCTTTGACGAGTTATGGCTCTTAAACGAACACCGAACCATATGTTTTTTATCGCACATTTCACTGCATTATCAGGAACAACCACAAAAAATTAAAAAAAATTTAACGTCAAGTGTTATTTCTAGGGAATCACCCTAAGCTAAGTCGAGCAGATATTATTCATTCACAGCGCGAAATTGACGTCTTGTTTTCGACCATGAAAACCTCACTTTTTCCATTAGCTCAGAGCAGAAAACTACATATAAGAGCCCTGGTTCTAATTCCCTGCCTTATTCCCTGCCACCGTTGTGAAAACTCCGCAGGAGAGTCTCGCAACTCTCGTCATTTGATCACGCACCATGACAACATCCACGCGATAACTCACGACGTGTGCGTGGATCTGCGCGGATAAATGTCGTCACGGTGGCGCAATTTGTTCTAAAAATAGCAAAATTGTCCCATATCATAGGTGCGCGCGGATCCCAGGACTTTCTGTCTCCGTCCCCGATTATGGCTCCTGATTTATACTAACACTACTCATACCATGCCATAGAAAATATAGCCAGTCAGAATACAGGAAACCCTTTGTGTATTCAACGGTATTACATCCAACCCTCCCTCCGCGCGTGTGTCGCATTGATTATGTTGGCCACTGTAAATTCTATGGCATGGTGTAAAATAGTGACATAAAATAGTTAAACATATAGATTAGGTCTTTGCCGTTTGGGAGCCCAATCAGATTCCTGATCCTCCGAAATCTGCAGATTTCCTGGATTTCGGACAATCTTCAAAAAACGTCTACGTTTAGTTAGTATTTTAACGCGGTTTGGTTATGACATGCTTAAACATAAATAGTTTAGTATCTCACATTGATAATTTACGTATCTTCATGAGTGTCCAAGGGTATTGATATTTTAGCTATAAATGAAACCAAACTCGAATCAACAATCAAACACAACGAAGTTCATTTACCTGGTTATGACTTAGTTCGCAAAGACCGCGAAAATAACGGCAGAAATAGTTGTGGTGTCTGTATTTAAGTTCGAAGTAATATCAATTTTCAAATTCGTGCTAACCTCACTCCGAGTAATATTGAATGCCTTACTATTGAGACAACGAGACCCGATCCAAGCCATTCCTTGTGTCCTCTTAGTACAGACCACCACAGTCATCCTTTTCACGGTCTTTGAGAGGGTGATTGATAAAATTGATGCCGAAAATTTGGAGCTATATCAGTTGGTTGACCTAAACTGTAATTTATTACCAGACATTGACGATAATAACTCTTCCTACTTCTTGAATATTATTGATATTTATGGTCTGACTCA